AATGTGGGTATTGTACGGTCCCCTTGCAAAAATTCACGGGTAAGGAAGTCAGGTAAAGATTTAGCAGAGCCGTGAAGATGCTCAATAGAGAAATGAAAGGCAGATAGAATGGCTTGCCATCGGGCAAATATTTGTTTAGAAACAAGGTTTTGAACATCTTTTTGCAGAATATCTTTCGCTGCTTTACAATCGGTGCGAATAAGAAAGTGTTGGTTTAAAATATCAGTTTGAAATTTACAAACACAGTGAATAATAGCAAGTAATTCATTTTTCACAGTAGAATAATTTTTTTGTGTAGGATTCCAAGCTTTGGAAGTAAATCGTATTAGTTGTTCTTTGGAATCAACTTATTGTTTTAATATACCACCAAGACCTAATTCAGAAGCATCACATTCAATTATTTTAAAAGCTGTAGGATTAGATAAAGTTAAACATGGTAATTATTTGGCTTTTAATTTAAGTAGTTGTACAGCCAAAGTATGGACATCAGTCCATGGTGGACGATTCTTCTTTAATCGGTCATATAAGGGTTTAACATCAAGAGCTAGATTTTGGTAAAAATCACTTATATAATTCAGACATCCTAAGAATCTTAACACTGCGGATGGGAGTAGACTATTTATTAAATACAAATTATCTAATGCTAAAATTTGTAATGAAGGACGTTGTTTTCCTACTCCATTTATTATGGTCATGGGACTCAGCCAGGCTGTAATTCTTGGCATACCTTTCCTCACTCTGTTATATCCAATTACTATTTCCCATACAGTTATTGAAACAAATATCCATGGTACCCCTATTAAATTTGAAGTCCTTGATATACCAAAAATCATAGAAATTAATACTGTCAAACAAAATATCAAACAAAAAGAAGATTTTATAGGCTCGATACAACTTGAAATCAAACACAAGATTATCAGTGAAAAACTCCAAACTAATGATATTATACAAAAAATACAACAACTCAAAAGTCTTAATGAAAACGAAATATATAATGATCTACCAACCGCTTTTTGGCAAAGAAAACAACATATTGTTGGATTACCATATGAACCAAATTTTAGTGAAACGAAAATACCAACAAAAGCTCAACCTATTCAGATGAATACGAAATTATTACAAACATGTCATAATGAAATTAAAGATTTGCTTCATAAGAAACTCATACGTCTTAGTTTATCTCCCTTGAGCTGCTCTGCTTTTTATGTCAATAAAAACGTCGAACAAGAACGAGGAGTTCCACGACTAGTTATTAATTATAAACCCCTCAATAAAGTATTACAATGAATTAGATATCACATTCAAAATAAAAAAGTTTACTCGATAGACTCTTACATGCAGTCATCTTCTCCAAATTTGATTTAAAATCTGGCTTTTGGCAAATACAGATAAAAGAAGAAGATAAGTATAAAACAACATTTAATGTCCCTTTTGGACAATATGAATGGAATGTTATGCCTTTTGGTCTTAAAAATGCTCAATTTGAATTCCATAAAATAATGAATGATATATTTAATCCTTTCTATAAATTCATGATAGTTTAAATTAATGATGTTCTAGTATTCTCTGAATCTCTTGAACAACATTTTAAACATCTTCATACTTTCA